TATAATTTGTGTCAATGATGACATGTATTGATTATTTCGATTCGAAATATCATGAGAATCATTACTCGTAGCAATTTTTACCAAGAGACCTTTTTTACGTAAAACACCGGAAATGTATATCTGTTAAGTCAGTTGTATAATACAGGTACGGACGAAAAGTTATTATTCTTCAAAACACTTTAAAATATGATGAATTATATTATATTATATTATATTTGTTTAGCATGGACTACTTTTTTTTGTTTTATATAAAATTTAATTATATTCGTAGTAGTGCATATTTTTGTAGAATTAAATTTCGCTATCTCTTATTTCCCGAATTGAAATATTATGGATGAGTCTTAAATAAGTGCGAATATTTTTAGTGGTGGTATTTTTCGATCCCAAAAACACGTCTATGAGATTCTTTTCGCGAAAAAAAAATTGAAAATTTCAAATTTTTTTAAAACTTTTTGGATTTTTTTTTAAATTTTTAGTTAAAAAACATAATATCTTTATAATATGGCAACATAGATAGTAGACTAAATTTACAAGAAATAAAGCCCAGAAAATATCCAGTGGTTCTCATAATTTAAGCAAAAAATATTTTTTTTTAATTTTCAAAGTAAAATATTTCGGTTATTTTGACATTTAGTAGATTTTTTTTAAAACGAAATACAGAGTGGCACACCTCATTCGCCTCGGTTGATTCTACAAAAACGGAAAGATGTAGAAACAAAATATTTTAGGGGTATATGTGGGTAGACAATGTGCACAATTTAACATTATTTTGAAATATACAGGGTGTTTCAGAACTAAGATCCATACCAAAGTTATATTTTTTCTTATGGAACACCCGGTATATTATTTCATTTTTGGATTCTTCGGCCCAAAAAAAGGTATTTATTATAAGGGTTAAATATGTTTAAAATCTTTGGTTTTTGAAATATTTAAAGATATTTAAATTTGTATGCTACAATAGAATAGATTATTAACACCCTGTACATTACTTTTCAGAATTAATTCTTATGCTGAGATTAAAGGTAGAGATATAAACTGAATTTACTGAAAAATGGTATTAGTTCCTTAAATTTATACAGGGCTATCGAAAGTTGCTGATCTATTTTAAGGATATATTTTATATAAAAACTTTGATATTTCAAATGTAACACCCTGTATTTTTTTAAATAAATCGCACACTCAAATGCTCTTTCAAAGTATATTAGGGTTTCGTATACCTATCTAGCTCAGATTTTGAATAAAAAACGATTTTTAAATAAAATTGTAATCAAGATGGCTGGTGTCGCCATGGCAATTTTATAATGACAGTTAGTAATTATTTTCAAAGTCGACATTAGTTTATGGACATTATTATTTATAATTTATAACAGTTTACTTAAATTTACCAGCAATAGTTTAATAAGTAAGTATTCATTATTTTATCAAGAAAAATAAAGCAGTATCTCCTGGCGGAACGAATAGATATGTGACTAGTGATATCATTTTGTGAGGAAAATTGATTGTTGGCCTCAAGGGCTTATGCTCAAAGATATCCAGATAGGAATCTTCCTGATAAGAGTTTCTTTGAAAAACTTGTGCGCTACCCTGTATATAAAATTTCCATAAAAAATGCGAAAAATACTCATAGACGTATTTCTGGGGTCGAACTATAATACCCTTAAAAATAGTTGCTCTTATTATAACTATAATTCACCCTATATAAAATGTTAACACAAACATTAAAATTATACCTGGGTTTGTACAATATGCTACGAAAAAACAAGGCGTCGGCGATGGCTTTGAAATGAAGATCACTGTCAGATCGTTAAAAAATCATCCCGATCCACTCATACTTTTTTGAGCCACCCTGTAGAAGTTAAAATATTTTCCTGAAAGACATACTTTAGGTTTGCACTACAAAATTCCTAACTTTTTTATTATAGCAGCTACAGATGCCCGACGCACTATTGTCGGACTCTGTATAATGGTCCATGATCTGTGATAATTTATTAAAAGAGAATATTTTTTCAAATTCTAATTCGCAAGGAAAATACTGATAATGTCTAACAGAAAACTTGGAAAACCGCTACTACTGACACGATTGATTTATACGTAAAAACCGTAGATCAGGAGTAGCTTTACATTATCTGACACTACCACTCTTCCAGGGATTATCCAGAGTCCATAAATCTGAAATAGTGTCGACCGGCATTAAGTTTTTACGAAATAACTGTTGAATCTACTGCGGAGTTTGCAAAAATGATTGACTTTAAAATGTAAAATGTGCTATTTCAGAGATAATAAAAATTTAAAATTCATGGTTTCTTAAATCTATAACAATGGTGAAAGTATCTAAAAGTTACATTTAGGAGTTTATTTTTTTTATTAATTATTAATAAAATAGAAAACAAATTTCTTGCAGTATAGGTATATAATAATTATATAAGGATTCTTGCCACTTAACTGCTGATATAGAAATTTAATTCTACGCTGTGTTTGTCATAATGTGGACCAACCTGCTCTCACTACCGGTTTAGGAGCCCTACTCCATCATCAGGTGAGCTTGGGCAGATTTACAAAATGACAACCACAGCGCAGAGATAGTTAATTCCGACTTGTCGGAAAGTATCGGTTAGATATTAAGTCCCGAATGGGAGATAGCGGCCTGAGTGCAATGGTAGTACTTTCGTACCACCGAGGCGCAACTATCGATAGTAAAAGGATGCCCAAGCTCACCTGATGATGGAGTAGGGCTCCGAAACCGGTAGTGAGAGCAGGTTGATCCACATTATGACAAACACAGCGTAGAATTAAATTTCTATATCATCAGTTAAGTGGCAAGAATCCTTATATAATTTTATTATTAATAAATTGCCCAACATATTTTTAACTTTTTGCAAATTTGTTTATTAGTAAGCCACTGCTAACAATAGTTAGTCTCCGTTGAATTAACGCAGCAGTGTTTACGAAAAAATAACTATTTTATTTTGTAGATTTTCTTACAGTGGCGAAATACCCATACAGGACTTTTTTGGAGATATTTTTAACTTTATAGCTCGACCTTTATAGCTGTTGTATTTGTACCTATTTTGTGACATTTTGTCACTTTAACATTTAGCTTTGAAAATTAAAATATTTATTTTAGGTAAAAATAATCATTAGATTTAGAGTCTACTGTAGAAAAAATTCCAACATTTTTAGATTTTACGATTTACTGTGGGAGAGTAAAATTAAATTACTGCATTAGGGAACGGACACAAACAAAGCTGGTTAATAAGCACCTATTACCAGCGCCGAAAATCAGCGCTTATAAATGGTCTCAATTAATAGTACACAAGAACGTAAAAAGTAAGCGCCAATAGTTATATTTAAACCTGTTCGGTGTTGAAATTTGAACACCGGTGTTAGGTGTTGATGACCGCCGGTGTTTCAGTCGATGTACCGGTGTCAACACCAACACTGCTGTTTATCTCAACACCGGTGTTCATTTCAGAACCGGTGTTCATCTACAACACCGGTGTTTATCTTGACACCGGTGTTTATCTCAACACCGATGTTCATTTCAGCACCGGTTTTCATATAGGTACAACACCGGTGTTGATCTCGACACACACGGTGTTGAGATAAACAATGTCGGTGTTGAGACAAACAACAGTGTCGATGTCAATGGTGCCGTTTGTTTGTTTTTTAGTTTTTTTTAATTTAGTATTTTTTAGTTCGGTGTTGAGATTTGAACACCGGTGTTAGGTGTTGAAGACCACCAGTGTTTCAGTCGGTATACCGGTGTCAACACCGACACCGATGTTCATTTCAACCCCGGTGTTTATCTCGACACCGGTGTTCATCTACAACACCGGTGTTTATCTTGACATCGGTGTTTATCTTGACATAGGTGTTTATCTCAACACCGATGTTTACCTCAACACCGGTATCGCGATGAACACCGGTGTCGATGTCGATATCGATATCGATGCGGTGCCGTTTCTTTGTTTTTTTTTAGTTTTTTTAATGTAATATTTTTTAGTTTATTTTACAGCTACTAGTTTTTGTTTCTTTATGTTTTGTTTTGTTTTCTATTTGTTTTTGATTAAACAATTTTTTTACTTTATAGTTGTTTATCTGACGCTTCCACTCTGTTTTAGTGATTAGTGTGGCAAAAAAATTATATTTAAATTTGAAAGTTATAAGTCGGTGCGCTTTAATAAACGATAAAAATAAGCACCGATACGACATATTATTATCAGTTTTATTTTGAACTTATTAATTAACATTATTTCTTCTTTAACCCGTTTACCAAACACCGGTGTCGATATCAAAATCGGTGCGTAGTCAAAACCGGTGTCGAGATGAACATCGGTATTGTAGATGAACGATGAACACCGGTATCGACACCGAAACACCGGAAAGCCTATATTTGGCCACCGGTGTCAGCCCAACACCGGTGTTAAAACGATGTTCCGGTGTTTGGAATAGTTAAATTCACTTTTCAACACACCTGCACACAGAAAAAAATCGTCGGCGCTTGTTATCAGCGTCAATTGGCCCGGACTTTTCACCGGAACGAATTATTAATTCTTAGTCGCTTGTTGTCTGTGCTGGATGTGCATATTGTGATATTCGGCGCTGGTTTTCGGCGCTGATTAACCAGCTTTCTTTGTGCGCGTACCCTTAGATATTCTTTTTTATTAACTTTTCTTTGTTTTATGCCGTTCTAAAAAAATATATATTTTTGTACATTTCTCTTTAACTTTTCTCTCTTTTCTTTTCTATAGTTCTATATTTTATTGTGAACTAACTTCACTTAGTGACTTAGCTCTCAATATACGTGATTTTTGTAATTTGTCACCATGACAGTTATCGACATGACATATGTCAAAATTATGTTTTTTTGTTACTGGGCATGCTTAAGAAATTTTGCATAACCTTTTTTTCCTAATTGGTGCTAACTTTTTGACACACTTTTAATACAAAGAAAGTAAAATACTAAAGAGTATACCTACTAAAACATTATTTTTTTGCAGAAACTTTAGACAAAAAGTACAACAGAATAACAAGCAAGATATATTCAAAACCGAAGGAAGCTACACGTTTTTCATTCCTGTCGATGAAGGATTTGCGGTAAGTTGCTAAATAAGTTTACGGTATAGACACTTACTACTACCCTTGTTTATATATTCTTAAAGTTGGTCAACCTCTCGACAAAATGTGCTGCCTCTGGTGAACAATTCGTAAAGCTTTAAAAGAATGAAGCATGTGATTAGGGGCGGAGTCAAAAATATCGATTATTTGCAGTATTTCCCTCAGAGTAATGTAATAATATAGCTCGGATTTTTGCGAACTATAATAGGGCTCAGCTGATTAAGAAATTTAAACAAAACTATTATTTCATTGTTGATTTTCGATTATTTTTGCTGTTATTTTAAGGATTCTAAACCGTATTTAACAAAAGAAATAACAATTTCAATATGTTGGTACATTAATGCTAATTACTGGTAATTATTAATATTTAAAAAAAGTTACATACACTTACTTTATTTCGATTTGATCCAGGGCTATAACATTTTATTTCATTCTTTCATCATTTTATTCTAAATTGAGGTTTTACGAATTTAAGATAATTTTTTTTTGAAAACAAAACATTTATACATTCTTGATTAATTTTTTTCTTAATTAAAAATAAAACTTGGCATTTGTTTCAATAATATTATTTGACATTTAAAGAAATATTATGTACTTAATACACCATTTAAATCTTTATTACACGAAATAAATCTTTCTTAGCGTAAAACATGGTCAGAGTCAAGTTTGCTTTAACTTTGTACCATATGAAAAAAAAACGGCATCCAGTTGGCAGGGAAATGACGATCGACGACATTTCCCACATAAATTTACATATAAAATGACAGCGACCTTAATTTCATAGCCATCGCTGACTCCGTTTATTTTCGATCAAGAATTATAAAAACTGAAAATATCATTATGTTTTAACTCACAAAGCCCGTTAAAACATAAAAATTTCTAGTATATTGTTTTATTAGGAGTAAAAATGACACTTTTCGTGGCGAGACTGTAGGTTTGACATACAGCCGAAGCACAAAAGTCATTTTTACTCCGAATAGAACATGGTATTTTTTTCCAACGCCACAAATAATGTTTTAAACAATTTCAAACGTTCCAAATAATATAAAAATATTTAAAATTCATACCTTGTAAGTAATTATCATGTCACAGGTGATAAACGGCAATATTGGTCGGCAAGCTCCACGCGCCAATTTCAAATTTTCAAACAGATGACACATAATAAATGTGTATAATCTGTCATAACTCTTCAAATGTCCAGCTCGATGATTTTACATAACTTTAGGGGTTATTTAATTCTTCCCTATTTTAGGTCTTTTTTTATTAGTGGCAATTGAACAATACGGATATTTTGTTGTATGGCATATGACGTTACAGGCGATATGCGCAAACTGAACGAAATTGGAGACCCTATCGACCATACCTTGTTTTCAAGTTTGCTTTGTACCATGAGTAATTATATATCGAGAAACTATGGTTACGGCTCGTTGAATTTGAGACTTATGTCATTTTAATAATATATTTTCATACTTTTATGCTTAGGCGTAAAGTGCTTTACTTTTATGCCTAGGCGTTAAAATGACTTTTTTATATTGTCAATCACGTCGCAAAAATTAATACTTTTGTGACGTTTGAAAAAAAAATAATATTTTGAAACTAACTGGTATATTTTTCTGCCACAACAAAGTTATTATACAGTGATAAATGATAAGATCATATTGAAATACGCTACTGGGTAAAAAAAATTGGCTAAATTTTATCAATAATACTCCATTTCAAAAGTTATTTTCCAAAATAATTAATATTTTTTAATAATTGATTGCAATTAATATTATTTGACTAGTTTAATTTGATTAATTAATAAGACTAGATTAATTTCATTTAAAATAAATTTGATCAGATTTTTTTCGTATATTCAACTACCAGAAAAGTAGAAGGAAGATTATAATGTATCTATCACAATATTTAAAAGAACTACTACAATAATTATTAGAAGAAAAACAAAAAGAAAAAAATACCCAAATACCTTCACCTTCTACTCAACTACAAAATAAATGAATATAATCTCTTACAAGAACACTACACAAACTACTTCTTGTATTCTACACTAAACAAATTATCAAACTTATTAATTAATCAAACATAAAGAAAAATTAACCAAATTACCCCTTCACCTACTACTTAACTTCAAAATAAAATATAAAAACACTACTAAATTTCTTCTGGTAGTCTACACTAAACATTATAATCAAACTTAATAAATTAATCTAATTTTACATTACAACTACAAAGAAACAAGAAAATATTTTAAAACTACAAGAAATAAAACTTCGATACGTGCGACCAGTATAATAGATCAAGCGGACAAAGAATATAAAATACTTTAAAATGTGCATTCAGAAAGAAAAAATATCTCGAAAATTATCTAAACAAACATTTTTTTTTCTTATCAGTGAAAAACATCGACCTCGTCGGCCTTGCGGAATTTGTCGGGTATTTACAATGGTCGAATTGTATAATTACCAGCTTTTATAGCATATCTAATAGACAAAAAGTATCTGGTCGATTAGTAACCAATTGGCACAGTCCGAAAATTATCGATTTTTATTTTCTCTGTTTTTATTGGCCGCTTCAAAATTCAGAGTAACAAAAAATATTTTTCTCTAGTAAAAGACTGTGAAATACGTCCCGCCATCTGGTGCTTTACATCCATAAACGTCTTAGGTTGAGCTACTTTAAAAATTCATATACAAGGCTACTACTAACTAAACTGTGGATGAATGTTACAATGCTACTGCTAAAATAAAATGAAATTCTTTCAACCAATGAAAAAATTTGTGGTTCATTCCTTGAAAAAAAAAACACTCTTACGAGTATACAGGGTGGTCCAACAATTGTATTCCGGAAACTTCGGCAGCATATTCTACAGATAAAAATAAATAAAAAAGTTCGTATAAATGTATGTCCTAAAATGCTTAGTTTCGGAGATACAGGGTGTAGAAGTTTCATTTTTATTTCGACTTTTTCCAAATAATTTCTGAAGTAAGTCAATATTTGGATGAAAATTGGTGTCTGGGAGTTTTGCGATACGAGAAATTTGATTTTGGTGTCAAAATGACTCCTATTTGTAGGGGGCGCCACCTACATGTGTTTTAACTGTTTTGAAGAATAATAACTTTTCGTCCGTACCTGTATAAAACTACCGGCTAAAAAAATATACATTTCCATGACATTTAAAAAATGTCTCTTGGTAAAAATCGCTACGAGCAACCGTTCTGAAGATATTTAGAATGGAAATAATCAATACATGTCATGATTGACAGAAATAAGCACACTTTGAGTATAGTTATTTGATTGAAATAATTATTTTTTATTTTTTTAAATTAATCATAAATTTTTCTGCAAAAAAATGATGATTAAACAGTTTCTGTTAAACTTTTGGTACAAACAGATTTCAAATTTATGATTTCAGTCTAATAACTATTTAGACAACACGTTTAATTTATGTCAATGATGACAGGTATTCATAATTTCGATTCCAAATATTTCAAGAACCATTACTCGTAGCGATTTTTACCAAGAGACCTTTTTTATGTAAAAAAAGTCGTAAATGTATATTTTTTTACTCAGTAGTCTTATACAGACATGGACGAAAAATTATTCTTTATAGTCTTCAAACCAGTTAACAAATATGTGGCGCCCTCTATAAGTAGGAGTCATATTGACATGAAAATCAAATTTCTCATGTCAAAAAACTCCCAGATACCAATTTTCATCCAAATCCTGACGTTATTTCAGAAATTATTAGGAAAGAATTGAAATAAAAATGAAACTTCTACACCCTGTATCTCAACAACTAAGCATTTTAGGACATACACCTATACGAACTATTTTAATCTACAGAATTACTTATTTAAATCTACAGAGTTTCCGAAATACAGTTCGGACCACACTGTATATATTTTATAGATTTCTCTTTCAGTTGCGAAATACCCCGGTTTTTACCATTTTTGTCATGATTTAAGTGATATATAACATATCTCATATATAGTTCATATCAAATAAACGTTTAGTCACGTGATTAAGTTTGACCGGCACAGCGTTGTCCACATTTACATATTTTATTTTAATCAAAATATTTTAGGAAACAAAAATAAATTAATTGTAAATATACAGGGTGTCTCAGATTTTAATCGGGAAAATTTAATAGACGATAGAACTTGCAAAAATAAAACAAAAAGTTCATATCAACTTGTAAGATTTAAAGCTTCCTTTTCGAGATACAGGGTGTTAAAGTTACTTAAAAAAAGAAAAAAAAGATATTTGAAAAACCATTTAATCGATTTTGATATAACTCGACCCGTTTATAATACTTACTATGGGACTTAATTTGATGTAATTAGATGTAAGTTTAATGGCCAGAGGCGGCGGTGGGGCATCACTGTTAAAGTATTTTAGAGGAAAAAATACGCACGCCACTGCTTTTTTGGAAGTTTAATATTATTTTTGGATGGAAGTTTAATATTATTTTTGGATTTAGTAATTAAAAATATTATTTTTTTGTCTCCTGACTTTTTTGTCTATCTTGCTTACTTCTTGCGAAAAAACAATGGAACTGGAGTAAATAAATGAATATAATTTTTTTTCACAAGAAGTAAGCAAGATAGATAAAAAAGTCAGGAGAAAAAAAAATAATATTTTTAATTACTAAATCCAAAAATAATATTAAACTTCTAAAAAAGCAGTGGCGTGCCTATTTTTTCCTTTAAAATAGTTTAACAGTGATGCCCCACCGCCGCCCCTGGCCATTAAACTTAAATTTAATTACATCAAATTAAGTCCCATAGTAAGTATTATAAACGCGTCAAGTTATATCAAAATCGATTAAATGGTTTTTCAAATATCTTAATTTTTTTTTCTTTTTTAAGTAACTTTAACACCCTGTATCTCGAAAAGGAAGCTTTAAAACTTACAAGTTGATATGAAGTTTTTGTTTTATTTTTGCAAGTTCTATCGTCTATTAAATTTTCCCGATTAAAATCTGAGACACCTTGTATAAACAGTTATGATTTACATCAAAACTCACCTCCTTAACGGCACTTACGGGACATAACGAGCCATTACTAAATACTGCTTTCCCGTTCAGAATATTCTAATAAATTTGCGATGAGTTTTTACGACTATTAAGCTATCTTGTACACTTCGCACTAAAAGAAGTTCTAAAAAGAACTATGTTCGACTGCAAGGTGTGCTGGTAAAATTTTTTAAGCTTAAAGTATCACAACACAATTTATTTGAACCAAAAAATCGTAATACAAAAGTAGTGTCAAAATGAATGATAATATCAGGAAATAAATAAATAAACGTGGCAACTTGACATTTTTTACTGCAGAGCTACCACCTGAATCCCCAGCGGGAAATTTAAATTCCAGTTAGTCAGCTCGGCTGGTTCGCAATAATGAATTTAAAAATCGCGCCCTCGAGTACCTAACTAAAAGTTTCATTGGTATCCGCGTCCTTTTCTAATTTGAAGTTCAATAAAACACAAGTTTACTTAATCGAGATGAGTTGCATAGAGGCCACTAGCTTTTTAATTTTTAACAGCCGGGTGGTCGGGGTTCAAAGGGCGCCACGAGATTATACTCTATGAACTCGGCATAAAAGATGTTACTATTAAGTAGACTTCAACACTAACCTCGAACTGTTGAGTGCAACTACCATGAACTTCAAATCTTACTATAATTATTGGAACTTAAATGACTCTAACTTAACTATGAGACTAGACTGTAAATAATACTACTAAAAATATTTAAGCAATTTATTAAAATATTAAGAAGTTAATATATAAAGAAAATTATGAAATGTATGTGAAATAAAGTAGAGTTTAGATCTATAAGAATAAATGAAAAATGAAAATGGTCTAAGCTATACTAAAACTGAGACGTCATCCCCCTTAACTTAAACTAAGTATGTTCTAAGGGCGAAATACAAATAGCAAACTAAATCTAACTAATATCTAAACAGTCTTACTCTAAGTCTTGAAACTACTTGACAATTCCTTCGGCTGAGCTACGGTGTATAACTACAGGATGGCTACAACAGGGTACAGCAGCTCGGTGTACTGTCACTGGAGCCCGTCCGCAAATGTACAGGCAGGTGGAGGATTTCAAAAGGTGACATAAAAACCCCAAATAATATTGGTTGTCTTAGAAAAGAGCTTCAATTATAGAACTAGGACTAGCACAACGTGTTGGAGTTAATAAAGATAATAAAGAAGGACTAATCAAATCTGAACTTTACCTCAACGAGGGTTTGTGATGTCCAACGGGTCCTCTACAACGGGACCTCTACACGGGCAACAGGATGGAATTCTGGACTGTTCTGTGCACCACTACGGTTTGGATAGGTCTTCTTGCTCTACAATTACGAACAACCAAATAAGATTTAAGAAAGATAACACTCAACTAATCTTTCTACACCACGTGGGCGTGGAAAAGTCGAAAACCAGTCAACACTACGAATAAAAATCAGTTGAGCATTGACTTAGAATAGGCAGAAGAATTATAGCATACCTTGGAACTATTCGGGACTTCTTGGGCACGTGCAATCGGAATATCGGTCGGAAAAAGGCTATTTTAATCCCATTACGGAAATTGGTCGGCGGTCCATGTAAATCCCACAAAATACAACCACGTCTCTAACCAAATGTGTTCCGGAAGACTTAATCCTTCACTAGGAAGACCTGCTAATCACCAACAGGGAATGCTTCACGGAACGGCAGCCAGTTTTTCACGACGATACTCTTCGGTCGGTGGATACGCAAGAAGTGATGCAAGGATTCGATTTCCTTCACAAAATCAGATTTCAACCGGAAATCTCCCTCCAGGATATAGATAGAGAACTATATATCTTGACTAGTCCAACTAACAAAAAGGCATAAATAAAAAACGATGTTCTAGAATATTTTCACAGCCATATTCGATATCCGGTCAGTGAACGAACTTAACTCAGAAATTCCCACAATTAAATGAACGAATTGCACACTGCGATCCACATCAAAAATAAACGATTTAACTACGAAATTTTATCTGATAATTATAAAACTTCAATAACCAAAACAAAGGATAAATAAATCCAAAAACATCTGATTTGATCTGACAGTGACAAGTGACGGAGGTGATGATCAAAGATATAGAGAGATGGACAAAAAGCCTACTACTGATAGTGTACCTGGTCCAGTGAGAATATCGTTGAGCTGTAGCTGTATAATATCGCGGTGTATATCGGGTTGCATAATCGTAAAATTTAAATAAAATAATATTTAACAATAAAATTATAGTAAACATGATGCAAAAATAATAGTTATTTGCGATAATTCATGAGCTAGCACACAGAGGTCGTAGCGATGAAATTTAACTGTTACAATCGAATATATGTATAAAGTCCCATTTAAATTAAAATTTGTTTGTCATTAATTAATATTCAGAGATTTACCAAAATAATCAACAACAGTTTTATGTACTAATCAATCATTTTTTCCACATAGTATTATATTTAGTTTAAATTATACACTCGCATTCTTTATAGGCCTTTATATTTCCATGCTGAACTTTATTAATGTGTTATGGATTTATATATTAAGCTCTAATAAATTGAGAGAATTACCAGACTTAACCTCACAAATATATTATTTACTAAGCTTTAATAAATGAAGCTGCCTGCCAGCGCCTGACAGACACCTAAATTGTTATCCTTTTTTCTTTTTCACCTGTTCCAGAACTCGAGAGCCACTTTAATCGACGAGAAGATAATTGATGGGCACGTCATCCCGAAACGAGTTCTTTTCACCACTCCGACACAAAAAGACGTACCGTTCCCCACTCTGGCCAACGGCGATAATGACATTAGGGTCGTTATTTCTTTCACGCAGGAACAGCGTCAAAATCTTATTATTAGTAAGTAAATTGCTTTCTAGAATTAGTCGTACTGTGTGGTTGACAAATTGAGTTTGAATATCGATAACTGCTAAGTGTAATGGGCATAAGAAAGTATGATTTATGTGTTTTTTGTATAATTTTATTCTTCGTGGCTTCATGGATAATTTTTTTCCATTTTAATTAACTAATGGCATAATTGAAAGGAAAAAAATAACAAAGATTCCATCGACATATTACAGTAATGGTGCCGTCAAAATATCGACCTGTATTATCAACTGATGAAGACTGCTTGCTGGTTACTGTCAAGCAAATGTACCAAAATGCCTCTATTTATTAATATATACAGGGTGTTTCAAAATCAGTCAGTTGCAGTTTTTGAGATATAAAAAAAATATCAACTATAGGCGGCTATACGTGCCTCCCGGCGTCAAAGTATTTAAATTTGGAGCAGTGTTTTATTGTTCTGCCTATACCAATATCCAAATCATTGTGATCGTCGTTTCCTACAAGCATATATTCGGTCTATTCATAGTTACTATCAATCTAAATTATTGTTAAGTCTTTGTCAAGCACTCTCAGCATGTAGCTAGCATCATCTCGGTCTCCTGTTATCAAAACTTGATCATCGGCGAAGAGAAGAGTATATAGCATAGAATTCCCGATTGGCAGACCCATTCTACCACATCTTCTTTTCCATTTTTTCAGAGCTTCTTCGACATATATCTTAAAGGTGCCTATAGGGCGAAAGAGCATCCTTATCTGAGACCCTTGGAAACAATAAATTCCTCAGAAGTGTTTCCGCCCATTTTAATGTAACTTTTACTGTCACAATAAGGTTTTTTGACTGCGTTAATATAGACTTCATTGATACGATTTTCTCCGTTGCTGGCCATAACTTGTTCAATGGCACAGTATCATAGGCCTTTTGCAAGTCAATAATTACAAAATTTACTTCTCGCTCCTGCTCGACAGATCTGGATATCCATACCAATACCAAGAGGTAAGACCAAAGTGTATACCATAGGTGTAGGACCACTTTGATCCTACCTCTAAGTTAATGAAGTCGTGTCTTAGAGCTCATAATAATCATGGACAAAAATTTAGTTGTTTCAAGTGCTTTTGACCAAGTGATTTTTTTTAGTGGTATAGTTTCTAGTGGTGCCTACTATAGATATTGTTGGGTTTAGTTCTTAGAAGCTTAAAAGAGCATCAATTTTTTTGGCAGCTTCGATACCTAAATATCCTAGGACATACGTCATAGTATCCGTGTTTTAAATGCTCCTTTGTTCTACCACAGATTAGGTATACTATATGTGTATAGATAAAAATCTTGTCCCTAATTCGTGGTAGGAAAATGGTTTTTTATGACGATGAGCAAACGAGTTAAATTTCCTGTGCGCAAAAATAAACTCGAGTTTAAACAGCGTAATAACTGGGCCGGTCAGCCACTGTGCACAATTTTAGAGGCCATAAGTGGATGTGCTATGTGCGCAAACTAGTCGCGACTCCGAAAATTGGAATCACGAAAAACAATGCTTTTGACGATAAGTTTATAATTTGTATAATCTTTGGTTCTACGAACTATAGTATGATCGAAAGAAAAACTGCATCGAGTTGGCTTGGAAATGAACATCGATGACATTTATTTCATAGCAAAATAATTGACGACGTTTTTTTTACATTATATTACATTTTGAAATGAGTTTTCCATTGGACTGACCAATGGATATTTTACTTATGTAATCTTCAATTTTTTGTTATATCATCAAGTATTTTAAATTAAAATGCATTTTATGGTTTTATCTAATAAATAGTATATAGGATATAAAGTATTTAAAACTATTTTGATACTGATATTTTAAACTAATTTTCAAGAAGCAAATGCAAATTGATATTTAACCAAACACAAATACACTGCACAGTAGGCTTTTTCGATGTGTGTATAATTGAAACAGACATCGATACACCTTATTACGGCAGGAGAATCAAGGGGGAAATTAACCGATTTGCCTTGACGAACATTACGTCATTGTAACAGGACGGTAATTAGTAACGAGATTTATGCACGCGAGTACAATAACTGCCACGAAATTGGCAAACTATCGAATCATGAAATTTACCGGGCTGCTTGTGGTATTGTTGGAACACATTTTATTGCTCCTGTCTGAACAATAATACTTTTAACCTGAATGAAGAAATTAAATTTTGGTAAATTTATGGACCTATTTAAAAATATACAATTATATACAAGGATTTTTACCGAATTTGTTCATTAAATTTTTTTTTCTGCACAAATGTATATGTATAAAAGGTAACTGGAATAGAAGTTACGATATACGTGTATATAAAGCATTTGTAATTTTGTAATTGGTATAGTCGGTCCAACGACAAAATCCTTGACAATGATAGATGTGTCTGTCATTTTAATTTTAAAGTAGTTTATTTTATTTTACAAGGAAATAAGTTGGTACAATTGGAACGCATACCAGAAAAATAATATCTTTTAATATATTAAAATTTGAGTGACAAGTGATTAGAGATTACCGGACCAAAATATTGTGAAAAAAGAAAGTAAAAAACTGAAAAAATCTAATCGAGTTATTTTATTAAAAAAAAATACGGTATATGTTAATATAAAACAAGCAAGGGTGTATTTTAAACAAAACACCACATACCAAATAAAATATAAAAAATTGGCGCCGGTAGGCACGTATAGCCGCCCATACTAAAATATGTTTGCTAAATAACTCATTTTGAGTGAAATTAAAAAAACTTTTTTTTGCCGATCTCAATAGCCTACCATAGGTACCTGTTGATATTGTCGGCTAAAAAGTTATCTTAGTTTCAAACTCAACCAACTTCCTGCATTTATTATTACATTTATCAATATAACTTATGTACAAATAAAAAAAAATATTGCAAAGAAATAAATAAAACATAAATAAAGCAAAATATGTTAATAATAACACTTGCTGAATTTTATACCTTAAAAGTTGGTTAATTAACTTTAATCTTAACTTTTTTAAACCAATATCTTTTGACATTATGTCTCTGTAGTACTAAAATTTATTATTTACCTATCGTGTGATGTTATATTACAGATACTCAAGTTTTTGGTACCATATACCAAATACGATGGATGGTATCCTGTATGGTATGCTGTATACAAACTTTATTTGTAGCTAATACAACTCTCTGGCCATAGCCTCTGGCAAACTATATCTCTGGTGATTTCTGGGCTCTGAATATTAACTGTAAACTATGATCTGGGCCGACACTCAATTTTCCTCCACTTAATTTTAAAAAACACGAAATACACTTAATAACACAGTTCAAAATGCAAAATATTTACCTATCATTTCTGTTTGACATAATTTGACACAAAATTATAACCTACAATTTGGCAAGAGTTTGACATTTCTCAAAAATCTTAAGTCGAGTTCATACACATCGGCGTCCGTTTGTCATTCATCGTTCCGTCAAACCAATAATATTGAAATATGATTTGTCATATTTGAAATAAACCAATAGAACTAGTTAAAAACAACAAGAGGCGACCCAGGACGGATTTATATATAAACCATAGCTAACTAAAATATTAGAAATTTTTTAGCGAAAAAAAATGGATTGATATGGACGTCATCTGCTTTTTTCCTGTCATCGTCTGTCGAAATCTTACCCGAGAAAAAAAAACAGTATAATTGGTATTCTCAATATTAGATACGTATTTTCGAAAGGTTCTTATTGAGATAATATACTTTTTGAAAGAAATCACGTTGTTGTATCGTAACTTAACGTTTATTTAGCATATTAAACAGGGTGAGTCTTAAATAAGTGCAAATATTTTTAGGAGTGGTATATTTCGACGGCAGGAACACGTCTGAGTATTTTTTTTTTTTCGTAAAAAAGATGTTAAAAATCGTGCGTTATCTTTTAAATTTTTCTGTATATTTTAAAAAACTTTTTAGAACTGCCTGTTCAACGCAAATTTTCCCGCGGTATAATTTCTTTATCTCTGATATTACCACAGTTACGGCATTAAAAGGGAAGCAAATACAGAAAAACTCCGGTGGCTCAAAATTTTTTTTTAAAAATAAATATATTTTTTTAATTTTCAAATTTGCACAACTTGGTTGCATTGGACTTATTTATTTGAAAAACGATAAAGAGAAAATATGTTTCTTTTATCGAGATCTACCAGCCTTGAAAATATTTGCACTTATTTAAGACTGTATTACTAACCCTGTATTTTAATATGATTTATAAAAAAAAATAAATCTAAGAAAATATTATATTTTGAAAAGTGTTTGTCTCACTGAGACTTAAGTAAAACCAGTTCATCACTTTATCGTTCATTGTTTTTGATGTCTCATATTATCACTTGTCCAAAAGAGAATAGACGTTCCACAGGACGAAACCTTTTTAGGGGGTTATATTTAAAAAAAATGTTTTCTATTTTAGGATATACGCTTAAAATATTTAAACTCATGTCTTTATTATTTATAATGCAGTGTTTCCATGATAAATGTGCTGTCAGTACACCTCGTTTTGTCGCTGCTTACAACAGAGGAATCAGATTTCTCTTAAAATATGTAATGTAAAAATATGTAAGATTCATCTCTTCATCGAGTACTATTTTTAAATCTTCTCTAACGAGATATAATTGTGAAAATGGTTGTGTTCAGAGAGAGAATATTTGCACGTTTTTCTTTGTAAAATTGAATACGAGCTGGTGCTCTCGAAGTTTTTACACGGTTAATTAAATTATCAAAGGAAACTTCTCTTAACACATTCTCAAACTTTGTTTATAATCTGAGCTAACGTTTTTGCAAAAAGTAATTTTATAATTTACTCCGCTTTGTCATATAACAGGCAAAATAGAATACTTAAATTAAACATTTATACAATGGATCGTATTCTTCAATGGATCACTAAATAATAAAGTTATTATCAAATTTCAAAAATATTTTAAACAGAAACGACATGTAATGGTACATTTTCTAAATCAGAATATACAG